AGTAGAACTTCGGTTTGGATTGGTCGTACCGATGTCTTTGCAGTGAAACTTCAGGTTGAGGTGTTTATCCATCACGATGACGTACGGTTGTTTGTCTGGTTCCTTACCAGCCATGTAGTTATCAAAAAACACGTTTTCACGGTCAACAACAGCTACGTCACTGGTCTGTTTACATGACGTCATGTGATGAGGAAATACTGCCACCTGTCTACAAGGACCTCCTGCTCTAGATGATACCGCCCGTCCGTCTGTAGTGAACAGCTGTATTCCTCCCTTCATCCCCACCACTACCATGTCATCACTGGTCATACAAAGAGAACGTGGCGTGTCGGTGACTTTGAATTGTTGAACAATATCACCACCTGTCGTGATTTCCCAGATACTTCTGTCATCACACACACAGAACCACACCCTGCCTGTTGTCGGGGATATGGATATCGATTGGACTATAACCTTACACTGTATCTTCTTTTTCACTCTGCCTTTAGTTTCATTCGGTACACACTATCACTGTCCCAGAACGATAGCCACGCCTCGTCACCAGTAAGACCTGTACGACATACATCGTAAGGAAATGATGGTGTAAAATCGTCAAGAACCACAGTTGTCGGAATCGGTTTGTACGACTGATCCTCTCCGTCGACTAGTATCTTACCGAACATATGTTCCAACACTTCAGTAGATATGCTTCCGGGTTTGAATTCCACTGCGTGTAATCAACCGGGAGTAGGTGGAACAGTGGAGGTATTCCTGATTTCCCGCACTAACGTTGTGATGTCGACCGTATTGCCATTTTCCAATACTTCCTGGCATCTGTTCAGTTTCGGATTCAAGACGCCGGTCAGATGTTTGTTTAATACCGTTTTGTTTTTATCATAAATAGTCGCATTTATTTTTTCTAACTCGGTACACATATTCACTAACATATCGATATTCTTGTCGATATCGTCTTTCATCTTTTCCCCCTGACGTTTAATGTCTCTGATAATTGTCTGATATTGTCCATCGTTTGTCTCATTCTCCCGGATATCTTCCTTAACTTTCGGAATATCGACCTTGGAGAGTTTGTCAACATACTGTTGTATTTCCCGTTTCTGGCTCGTCACGTATTCAGTAAGTTTTCCCAATGTGTGACCATTGTGAATGTCTGTAACACACTCCATACAAATCAGCTGATCGTCACACGATTTACAGACGTAAACAAATCCCATCCCCTGATGGTGGGGACATGTACCAGGTACCGGAGTCTGGCCCTGATCCGCCATGTCGCCTACAGAAAGTGTGTAGGGCTTTATACACCTGTCATATGATAACAATATGGCGGATACACGTTTTGTTTATCGGGAATATGATAACATCCTCTATAAAAAGTAGCACGTGAGGTTACAATACACTTGACTGACTGATATTTATATCTTTGTCGAACGAGAATTTAAATGTAGTCCAAACAAGACTTAGATGTATCCCAAAACGAAATTGAAGGCACACGAAGTAAGTTGATTGGTTCCAGTAGGAAAAAAGCTGACCAATCACAGGCTGATGTGCTCCTTTTGAAGATCACAAACGAACGACACCCAATTTCAAAGCCATTACAATATACCCTTATGCGATCTCGAGATTTGTTTGAAGTACATCAAAGAATCAAAACCAGTCTTTTCCTCGAGTCCACAAGGTGTCGCACATGGAACCCTCAGTTTTGCCATGACATATTCCAAGGACACAGATAGTGAAAGTGATCGTAACACCTGGATTATTGAGGATGAGGAGGATGAGTTTGTTAATTTGACAATTGGAGCCTCAAAGTAGCTAAACGATGCCCGGTAATAGTGATTCAAGCGATTAATCGTATCGTTACTCGGATCATATTTAAATAAGATAAAAAGGCATTTAAAAATAATTAGTGATATCTTTTCACACAAAACCACCAAACTCACTATTTTATCAACAATTTATTTTAATCACAAATTTCAATTTTGTGCTATTTTTATAAATGTTTCACTTTTCTTATGCTTGCTGTAAAATACGGTGTTACACGATTATATTGCTATTTCTGCTTACGGTTGGCTTTTCATTGTGCATTCTGCTTTTCAGCAAATATGTAGTGTATAACTGTTTTGTTTAATTTGCTTCATTTTACCATACTGGTGTGTTTCGTGTTTGTTTTGTTATACCGTTTGCTCGTAGATTAGCTCTTCAAAACTTATGTTTTTTATCTGTACATAAGCGATATCAATCTTATATCTTGTACTGTTCGTGCCTACTACTGCTCCATTCCGCACGGGAAATACAGAACAAACGTCACGATAGAAGAACAAAGAGAAACACAGAGGAGGACTCTATTGTCAAGGGCAGTGTACAGACTACACAGTATCCGAAGTACACAAACTTTGTGTCAAGGATAGGACGATCAGAAGCTGAGTTAGTGGTCCATGTGCGCCTTTCCCCCATTGATTAATACTTTGATTGTACCGCCAACTTTCTTCACTAGAAGGTTTGTCAAGGAATGACACAGGACCATCCTCACAGGAGAATGTAATGCTGTTTGGTGGTATCTACAGAACTGTTATGCGCGATAGTGCGCTATCCATGGCTGTGCCAAGCCGTTGCTGACAGGCGGTATCTCGGAAAGCCAAGGATGTTGCTGTAAGTACAAACTTAAGTAAATCAATTATGTCTTGGGTATGGAGAAATATGCTCTTTCGCCATAACCGGCCTACCTGTAGGCGGCTCCAAATGACACCAGGTGCTTTGTCAATTAGTGTGGTGCAGAAAAGAGACACTACATCGTGTGAAATAATTCTTGACGTTTTGGAAAAGTACCGTGGACAAACTTTCTGCAAGGTCTTTCGAGTTTGTGACATGCTTTGATTTTGATTGTGGGGTGTTAGAATGTTTGCTAGTAATCAGGAGACATTGTAACCAATGGAACCAGTATATTGCACTATGGGCCGTAATGGATTCATTTCTTGCGATTTTATTTCCTTGCTTTAAATATAATAAGGTAGCTACCAGTCTTTTTAAAAAAGTTTCGTCTTTGAGCATTGTCATATTTGTCAGTGTCCATGAGGAGTGTAGCATTCCCCTAATCATGATAGAGCAGTCCTTGCCTGATTTTCAGGTACAATGCATTCTTCCATCGATAAGACGTTTGCTGGTATTTTCGTAGATTATAAGATACTGGCCACTTGTGACCTCAGTTGATCAGCCTCAGTCCTTGCATGCTTACTCTGTGGCTACAAGAAAACCTCTGGAAATATGTCTCTCACTTTGGAATAATTTAAACTCTTACTGAGTTTGGCATGGTTTCAGTCAAATCTCCAACTATCATTGTGCTGCTATTCTTGGATTTCTCTATTAGACGTTTCAACTTTGTCAAACGGCTTTCTTTGGTCGTGTTGAGCGCTCCTTTTCACGTGTGCTTCATTTATGAGTTCATAATGCAGAGAGCCACTTGATAATCCCACGCTAAGCTGCAAGTAGTGCTCCCAAATAACAAAGTTTTTCTTGAAAAGTCTCGATTTTTTCCAATCGTTTAACACTAATCTACTACTGTATCAAAGGATGGTACGCACCACATACCAGAGACAATTGTTATACACGTGTCATTAGATACAGTAAAGCCTAATGAAGTGCCCTTATAGTGCTTGTCTGTGATGCTAGAGGATTCGTGTTTAAATTTACCACTCCCTTACACAAATCTTTGAAGCCTAGGAGTTGACTAAGGGAAATCCAAAGCGATCAAAAGACAACCATTGCTTGATCTCTATATGCTCTTTGATATTTTCCCTTCTTTTCTCACCTCTGTTTTTGCTCTTAATGATAAGACATTCGGACATTTCTTTGCAGTTGTAGCGATGATAATCTTTATCTGCCAAATCAAAACTGGCCACCTGGAAGCCATTTTGTTTGACTGATCAGAAGAAACAAAATGGCTTCCAGGTGGCCAGTTTTGATCAAAGGAGCACAAGGAGAGACCAAAGGGAATATACGTATGAAATTTGAGTTATAACCATTCAGTACTTATAAAAAAAATAACGAAAACAATCTTTCAAAATCAAAATCCAAGATGGCCGCCTTTCCGCCATTATGATTTTCTGATCATACCCAAAATCGAATGGGCACAAAAAGGCACCAAGGGATAGCTACATTTGAAATTTGAGAAAGATCCATCCAGTACTTCTCAAGAAAAAGCGATAACAAACTTTAAAAAATCCAAGATGGCCGTCTTTTGGATCATTATGATCAGTCCTACATATGAAATTTGAGAGAAATCCATCTCTTACTTTTTAAGTAAAAGCAATAGCAAAAATTGTTTATGGATGGACGGACGGACGGACGACGGACCACGGACGCAGGGCGATTTGAATACCCCACCATCTGATGATGGTGGGCTAAAAATTGTTTATGGACGGACGGAACATGGATGCAGAGCCATCTGAATAGACCACTATCTGATAATGGTGTGCTAAAAAGTCGTAATGTATCAGCCCAATAATTTCATAAATTTCGTCATTTTCATACATCTGATAATTTTAGAAAAGCGTCAAGTACAGGTGTATTTTCAGAACTTTGCAACTAATTGAGTGAATTAAAACGTGGCAATCAGGTAACGGCAAACCTCGGGGACCAGCAGATATTTTACTGGGATTGTTGTCCTTGGTTTGTTAAAGACAATTTTCTAACAAACTTCTATAAGAGATACTGATGGGACATACCTCAAGTCTTCGTGTTGGGTATTTATTAGAATAGCCCTTGCTTACATATGATTTATTTATAGTCGAACATGGTTTTACATGTAATTAAAATCAGCTCAGAAGAGAGTTTATTCGACGTTGATATAATTTGTTAAATGTACACTGTACTTAACCTGTTGAATAAATTTGTTCTGATTGCTTTGTGGTAGCCCATATTTGACAAACCTGATTCCAGAGTCTAGTAGATACATCACCGGTAATAAGACACCCTGATCTGGTATAAAATGATGACAAACTATTGAAGTGTAAATTAGGATCACATTTACTCTTGATTACACTTAAGAACCCTACATATAATACCATACATTCTCTTTAGAAATAATGGTCCATACAAAACAAGTCTAGTTTACAGCTCACATAATGGTGAGTTTTAACATGTGTATACTGAGAAGCTTACGAATTCAAACTTGAACAAAAAAATCTGTTTCAAATTCTATATTCATGGACGCTTCAATGTAGCTCCTTTAAATTTTGTAGTTGTCCCTTCCTCTCCCTGTCATCATTTAACTAATCATTGCTTTACTTTAATATTTTAAGAAAGACACATCCGAAGTAAATCCCAAATCCATCCTTCTTTAGGGGAAATTTCCCCCTAAATTTTGGACAGGAAAAATTCATAGTTATGTGAAAACAAATATAAAATACATAGTAGAAGTCAGAAATATTTCATTTAATAAATTTTCTGTAAATTTCTGTTTAAAAATTTCCTTTTCAACTTCTGTTATTAAAAATTATTTGAATCATTTCATAAATCACCGACCAGAATCTAAACCGTTTTTGGTCATATAAATCGGAGAGAGAAGTGATTGATTATTTTTTGTACACACCAACTGGATTTCTGTATCATGTCTGACTACATATATTTTTCTCAAAAATCTTTTATAAGTAAGTCTATTTCATTACATATGTCTCATTGATGATGTAAAGTACAATGTTGAAATGATATTTCTTCTACAATAGGTTGGTGTCATTCAACCCCCAAGGCATTAATTAATCATTTCAACTGCTGTTTAAACATTAATACCACATGTGGTGTAACATTTTAGCATGTTTTGATTGGCTGACAGGATGAACTTTGAAAAGGGTGCTTCATGCTAAAGCTCATGTTTTTTGTAACTTTTGAAAAAAAAACTTGAGTTAAAGAAATATACACAAAATTGTACCACTACCACATATTGTGTAACCTCTATATCCCGGCAAGGATTTCAATATAATGTCATACCAGAAACATTAAAGTACACCTTTTATCTTACATTTTACAGAAAGTTCTTTTTAAAATCATACTATTTATAATGCATTAAATTATTCCTAATATGTAAGATGTAGGTGAGAAATTAAAAAGAGACAATAAACCAGGGAAAATTCTTCCCTGTATACGCATTCTGATTCTGTGATGGATTATACAACAGAGAAAATAACAATTTCATAGATATGAATACAAATTTGTATTTCACCTGATGTTACACTATGTGTCTTTGATTAATGGTTTCATGAATAAATTGTATTGAGTTCAGAACTGGATATAGAGCCTCTACTGATCTTTTCACAGATTTTGTTACCCGTTGTCTTTAGAACAGATTCATTCACTCTTCTAGGACTCTGCATTTCTAACTAAAATAACATCAGATTTTGTTCGTGTGAAACTCACCGTCTTTGGGTGAAAGTTGTAAAATTTATTCTACAGTTAACAAACTGTATTGAATTTAATGTTATCAAGTTGAACTACTGACTATCAGTTTAAGAAGAAGCTAAATTTCTAATTAACAATGAAGCACTTGAATAAAAACATATGTACTGACATAATGAATAGATGTATATCACATTTACATTAAACAGACATATTGGAATAATGGATGTTAAGTAACAAACAAAAACTGTCCATGGCAACAACAGCTGTCCATGACAACAATGGTTATTAAGGATCCATAACAACTAAAGTTGTCATAAAAAAAGAAGAGATTAAGTAACCAACGAATGTGAAATATATATTACTGTTATAGTGTCAATATACAATTATATATATATACAACGTACAAAATATCAATCAACATCATTTTATCATAATCTATATGATTCCCAACCATAATTACGTCAAACTTTCATCAACTATCATTTCTAATACAACATGGAGTGACTAGTAATCAATATCAAGCGATTTTTACTGCTAGCTATAACTTACAAACCTTTAACTATTTATACATTCTGTTATTGATAAATTTCCAATATTAAACAATGATAAACTAGGATGTTAAATATGTTGTTTACAGTAAAATCATAATTGTTTTCATACCTCATTCAATCCTAAATTTGAATCAAAAATATTGTTTTGATTAAAAAGATTTTTTTTTTGAGACCCAAACTCGTGAAATAGACAAATTGCCAGGTCTATTCCATATCTAACTATGTTCAAGAGACAGTTTGTTCGTAGGATCTGCTTTTTAAACTTGTGAGACACTTAAAATTATCATGAATTGTTCACAAACAGAAACCAGTTGTTCATCTACAGACCAGTTTCAATCATACCCAGTTATTTCTTAATCAGCGTTAAAATGGATTGTACCCTGTAAAGTATTTACCATGTAAATTACACGAACTTCAAAGATGTCCTTTTGAATGAAGTTGATCCTTGAAGCAATGTTCAGAATCATCATGCACTAAATACTGCACACAACAAATATCAAATAGCCACCAAGGATTTTTTTTAACTTTACATAAAGAACTGATCATTTCTACCCAGTCTTAAATCTGCCTGAAATTGCAAAAAAAAAAAAACCCACAAACCATTAAACTAAGACGAAAGTTTACCTGTTTGCAGTTATTGGTAACAACTTCATACATAGTGGATTCTTTAAACTCATCACTGCTTTTCTTCATATTTAATGTGTATTTTCAGATGAATTTGCACCAATTTAAGAAATTGTAGACAACCTGTGACTACTGAAGCATTCCTTCAAATTCTAGTTTAAGTTCATTTTACCATACATAAAACTACATTCTAGCCAAAAATTATTTCCCAATAAATATCACACATTCACAACATAGTCTGATTGACTAAAACAATTAAAATGCAAAGGTTTCAAATTAAAAAAAAATCAATAATATTTGCAGCAGTAAAGATGATTCTTCTCTTAAAACCTGTATTTCAGCATTTGCATTCAGTTCATAGATTTTAACATCTTATCTTTTCTGATAATCTAAATTAAAATATTTTCTTTAAAAAATTGAAACCAACATGGATGGCCATAACATTTGTTCATGTTCAGATGTTTCTTGACAATGGAATTCAGGGAACATGTTTTTTTTTTCAAACATGCAGTTCCTTCACTTTTTTTTCATTTCTTTTCTAGGTCAGTCTTATCACATTTTCAGCTTTGTAAATACTTTCATAGATATAAATATATCAGAAGAAAATATGAAGGTTATGTGTTACAGTATGCAAAAAAAAAAAAAAAAAATGAAATGAAAACTGGAATTTTGATCTACAAAGACAACATGTTTTTTTTTCTAGTCCTCTAGATTGCGGAAGGCTTGTTGCATTTCTTCATGTAGATCATCATAATCTGTCTTAATTTTCTTTTCACCGTCTTTCACTGGATCCTGAAAAGGGTACAAAATATTCACTTGAAAACAGTGACAGATGTATACAATGTCCACATTTTAGATTTCAGTTTAGAGAAAGCATTGATTATGATCTCTAAACAAAGAAGTTTATATGAAGACATGAGAAATTACCAATAATTTTGAAATAACAATGAAATTAATCATTTTCTGAAAATCATTAACTAGTGAATCAAAATGCCTTTGTATATTTGAACCAACTAGGACATGATGCTACAAATGAGCAATGTGGTAACTTATCTCCTAAAAATGACAGATATTTAAAACTAGTAAATGCTTATAACACATAAATGCCTTCATTTCCATAAAATTGCTTGTTGTATTCATGTTTGACAAATTTGTTTTTATCAAAAGTGAAACTGATGAATGCTCCCTGTGACAACATTATTGGAAAAAAAATTAACAAGGGCAATTATTCAGTAATTATGACGTTCCAACACTGAATTTGGTACAATTGACATCCTCTTAGTATGACCGATGTATCCTCCAACTTTGAACATTTTAGTTTAAATGAAAGCAAAGTCTACTTTAATACAAGTTACAAGTTATGCTCCAGACACAAAAGTTAAACAAAGGGCAATAACAAAGTAATTGTGAGGTTCAGGGCCCTGAATTTGAATTTTGTTATGCTCAACATGAAAGGAAGGACATACAAACTAAAATGTTTTGGGGGGAGCATAAAAATAATGAGAAATGAGTGGAAATCAGACAGCAGTAATTTAGCATGTAACCATTGATCAGATTTTTCAGGTGCATTTATTTTTAATTTCACTATCTAAAATTTTTTCTCTAAAATTTCTCTATTTTGAGACAAATATCATTATAAATACTTTACCTTGAATTTCATACTGCTAAGCTTATACAGGACATCACTCAACTGTTCACGAATAATTGACCAAGTGATTTTATTTTCACTTTGTGCAGTAGTCTCCACAGCATGACGTGCCATATCGTAGAATGCCATGATGTTTTTCAGCATACCAACCGTTTTGTAAAATGGACAAAACCTATCAAAGCCAGAAGACACACCAATACAACATGAATCAATAAATACATAATATGAAATAGACATTCTTTATTAATGAGATTTAATTGGTTCATTTACTTATGACACTTCAAAAGGTTCACCAAAGTGAGTTCAGAAACCTGCATCAATGCTGGCTGACAAGCATATAGTACAATATAATTTACATCTGTTTACATACTTTGGTCAATTTGGTGACATTTCTTTACATCCAGCATACCGTATTATGAGAAACTGAACTTTTACTTCAAGTAAAGATTAAATCTGACCACATTTTATCAAAAACTTTGACCATATCTGATAGTGTTGAAAAAATTCTTGACCATATCTGATAGTGTTTAGAAAATTATTGACCATATCTGATAGTGTTGAGGAAATTTTTGACCATATCTGATAGTGTTTAGAAAATTATTGACCATATCTGATAGTGTTTAGAAAATTATTGACCATATCTGATAGTGTTGAGGAAATTTTTGACCATATCTGATAGTGTTTAGAAAATTTTTGACCATATCTGATAAGTGTTGAGGAAAACCAGACTTTATTTGAACAGTTAGTACAAAGTTTCAGAATAAACATTTTAATCAGCATAAATGATAATGAGTTGAAACATTGACACAGGAAAGAAAGCAATGCATAAGATTATATTTTCATCACATCAAGATCTCTGATTGATACTTTGAAGTTTAATGAACTACAATCTGTTCAGATATGGTCATATTTCCTACACACTATTTCTAAGAAACAGCTTTTCTCTGGATTTGATTCAAAGTAAAATAGAAGTTTCCCTTTAAAACACTGGTTTTATTTATTGATTTTTTTTTGCAGTTGCATATTAAAAACATGTCCATATATGGTGTTACAAAGATAGGATGTTTTTCAACTTTGTTCAAAAGACATAAATGAACATCACCACTTGTGCACATTTAGATGAAATACATTAGAGCTAAAAAATGAATTAAAAAATTCATCACACTGCTCTTTCATCCTTCAAGGACTTGACGCTAATGCTAAGGGCCTAAATGTTAAACCTAGGAGGTGTTTGAAGAAAATCCAAATTGATTTAAAAAAAAAACAAAAAAAACAAAAACAAAAAAACACATGCTTGCCAGTTGTGAGATATACAGTACATCTTTACAGAACAGGTGCCCTTAAATTTTAGTACAGTCTGATAAACAGAGTGTCATTAACCTCTAGCAATGTAATATTTGGTCATTGTCCTTTAAAAATAAGACTGAGAGGGTTTGAGAGGAAAAAAGGTATTATTTGAATGTAATTGGATGATAAACTGTGTTATATTTAGACACTCTTGACTTTTGACTATGTCAGATCCAAAAATGGGGCAAAGCCACAATTGGCCGGGCTGCAGGATGAGTGCAATGTTATATGGTATTTATAAGACAGTTAAGGGTGTTTCATTTGTTGAGTATATAGAATATTTGTTATAAGAGAGAAAGTTTGGTTGTATTTTATGAATTGGTGCAGAAGAAGGGCGTTTTAAGAAAGAAGTTGCAGCCATTTTTGATTCGGAGATGTTAAAAAAATAGACAATGGACATCTAAGGCTTCAAGGTGATTTATATGTGGAATTTTGAAAAGATTCTTGTAGTAGTTTCTGAGAAATTGTGATAACAAGAAAAGTTTCAGAAATGGACAACAGATGATGGACCATGGATGACTGGTGATTTGATCAGCCCACTATGGATGGTGGGCTTGGAACTTAACAGCTTCTTTCTTTATCTTTGTACTGTAAAGTGTTTTTATTTGGCTGGGGGTTATATTTTGCTATATTTGCAATTTGCTTTTAAAGCGTGAATTCAAAACTTCCCTGAAAATTGTGATAATAGGTCAGTTGTATTTGCTATCAATTATTACAATGAAATAAACTGTATAATGTGAATTTTAGATACCACGAATGACTTCCAGAAAGAAAAGCACGAAATTTGACAAAACAAAATTAAATCACTTTACAGTATTTTGACGTCATAGCTTGGTATTGAATTTGAGTATCATGGAACTATATATATAAACATCCCAAAAAGTTTTGAGCTTCTACGTCAAAAACTCTTGGAGGAGTTGATTCTACAAAACTGGTACCCTTTTTCCCTGCCAAACTGCAGAAAATAACTAAGTTCCAAAGCCCAAAAAATCCAGAAAAATGTCTGGAATGAATCCATAATAGGAGGTGCACATCTTCAACATATATATATAAACATCCTACAAAGTTTCAAGCTTCTACGTCAAAAACTCTAGGAAAATTTGATCCTACAAAACTGGTACTGGTTGATATCAGGTTGATATAACACGGTTCATACGTTTCAAAATTATAGGTGAATTACATGCAGACCATGATAAAGTATTTGTGACTCTACAGACCTGTCATATGGTGTGTATCCATTCTGCTGCAGAAAATCATCCTTTAGAAGTTTGGCCACCTCCATTGTGATCTTGTCTGATTCAGCTAGAGATCCCTGTAGGATAATCATCAAATTAACACCCGTTAAGGGGAGATAATTGACAACATCAAAATCACATACCAGTAAAAAATATCTTCTTAAATTAAAGCATGTGACGATTAATGAATGCATATTTTATAGTTTTTCTGATGGAATTATCAAGAAGAATCTATTGGTATTTTCTCTGGTCTTTTAACAATATATTTATATATAAAATAACAGTATAATTACATGTATATCAATTTCAAACTTGCTTCAAAGTCGCTTAGTAAAATTTTATGTAAATTCCTTTGTTGGGTATAAATTGTAATAAGAGAGCTTACCTTGCCTACAAGTTGTACAATTTCAGACAGATCTTCTTCTTCTTGTAAGATTTCTTTACACTGTAAACAGAATGTTTAGTTTATGATGGGTACAAAAGAATCGTCCAGACAAACTACAATTAGCTTCAAGTTTTGTCCATTTGCTAGGTTTATCATCCCATTTATTGTGAAAATTGATGAATAAAGTACAATTTTCAAAATTTCTATTCACCTTAGATGCAAACAGTATACAGTTTCAGCATCACAAGATGATAGATGAATCACCATGAACTCAATGCTCATAAATACCTTGGTTCTAAGTGGAGGAAAGTCTGGGAAATTTTTATCGTAGAACTCTTCGAGGGCTCTCATGTACTTGCTGTAACTGATGAGCCAGTTAATAGCTGGGAAATGTTTACGCTGAGCAAGTTTCTTCTCCAGTCCCCAAAACACCTGTACAATACCCAGGGTGGCTGATGTTACAGGGTCAGAGAAATCACCACCAGGAGGAGACACACTGCAATCAAAGAAATGTAAGTAATTAAGAAATCTAGTCTAAAGCCAGACAGTCAGTCACTTAGGCCCATAATCATGAAAACAATGTAATACATAAGCAGAAAATGAAGTAGAAAATGAAGTCAAAGAACGTGACATCAATCTGTCTTTACGTAAACCATTACCAATTTTCTATGATTTTTATTTAGATTTTCAGTAAAATTAGTAGCATTGACTTTATTTGAATCTAGTGCCCATTTTCCACTGTATGATTTTAATTAAATATCTTGCACACTGCGTTACTTACGCTCCTACGATACTGACGCTGCCTTCACGTTCAGGGTTACCCACACACTTAACACGTCCTGCACGTTCATAAAATGAAGCTAATCGAGCCCCAAGGTATGCTGGGTATCCTGAGTCAGCAGGCATTTCAGCCAATCGTCCAGAGATTTCTCTCAAAGCCTCTGCCCATCTTGAGGTGGAGTCAGCCATCATGGATACATTGTAACCCATGTCACGGAAGTATTCAGACAGTGTGATACCTGTCATAAAAAACAATAATCTCTGATAACTCTGTTGATGTGAAGCACACACCTCGGTATGAAATATATAGAAAGTGAAACTTGTTTCCATAAATAGACTGAAGCACACACACTTAGACAACTCTTACAACGACGGATCCATTCAATAGCATTACGCTTCGCCAGGCGAGGCCTCCGAGCCGCGAAGCCAGTCAGTAGACCAAAATTGTGCGTCACCGACGTATACTAGGATTCCCTATACGTCACAGAAGCATTAGGATAGCAAAACAGCTGTTGTAAATAGTATCTATTCATAGACTCCGACATTCTTCTCTGTTTATAATCTCACATCATTACTTTTTTCAGAATCATATGTGCTAGCCTATGATTAGCATTTCTTTCTGATCTTTTTCTTAAATCTCATTCTAGTTTCATCAAAAAATTTCACAACTCACAGAATCTCATATTACTCAAAGAATCTTACAACCTATAACAGTCACAGAGTCTAACAACCCACAACACTCGGTCACAGAGTCTCACAACTCACAATACTCAGTCACAGAGTCTCACAACTCACAATACTCAGTCACAGAGTCTCACAACTCACAATACTCAGTCACAGAGTCTCACAACTCACAATACTCAGTCACAGAGTCTCACAACTCACAATACTCAGTCACAGAGTCTCACAACTCACAACACTCGGTCACAGAGTCTCACAACTCACAATACTCAGTCACAGAGTCTCACAACTCATAATACTCAGTCACAGAGTCTCACAACTCACAATACTCAGTCACAGAGTCTCACAACTCACAATACTTGGTCACAGAGTCTCAAAACCCACAATACTCGTTCACAGAGTGTCACAATCCAAAATACTCAGCCACAGAGCCTCACAATCCACAACACTCAGTCAAGAGAGTCTCACAACCCACAATACTCAGTCACAGAGTGTCACAACCCACAATACTCATTCACAGAGTGTCACAATCCACAACACTCTATATTGGGTGGGCGTGGGTAGGATTTATTTGGTGTCAAATCTACTGCACTATGAGTAGATCCTCACCTGTGTAAATGGATGCTTCTCGGGCAGCGACAGGCATGTTTGAGGTATTGGCGACTAAGGTTGTTCTCTTCATGATGGACTCTGGTTTACCGTCCACTTCCATAGTCAGCTATCAACAAAATGTTTAGTGCACATATACAATTTGCATAACACCCATGTTCTTTTAAAAGTACCCACTTTTCACGGAAATCCCCATAGTAATGTACTGCCCATGTTTATCAGACCATTTAGATTTTATTGCTGGCAAAATATCTGATATCTATCTATAATGTAATAGGTCAAATAAAGAAAATTCATTATTTTTTTTTGCCTGGTTATCTCTTTGAAAGTTTAACACAAGATAACTGAATGCAAGGCCAAACAAACACCTGTTGTTATCTCTGAGGGGCTCAATTAATTGCTTTTTTGAAGATGTAGTGATATTGTAAAGAACAGATATTTCAGAATTTAAATAAATCAGGACAGGACGGGAAGGACATTTAACATATGTCCCCCTCCAACCTTTCCCCACAAATTTATGATCATCATTTTTACTTCCAAGTTTTTGGTAAATCCACAAAAATTTGAACCAACAAAAAGAGTCCTTCACAGTAAGTTTTCTGATATCAGTTTAATATAGACATAAATATAAACTTGTCTACTTATTATTTAAATCACATTCTGTTTAAATTTTTTTAAGGAGAAACATTTATTTTCTCAGAATATAGTTTTATAAGTAAGTCTATAGATCAGAAAATTTAAGAAATCAAACTGAGTGGAAGTACTAAACACCAATGTATTTACCTTATACCATTCATTGTTTTTACTACTTTATAAAAATCATGTGATTTTTTTTAATAAGTTAAATTTCATAAATATTTCTGATATTTTAATAAAATCATGCGAATCTTCCCTCTGGGATATATAAAAACTTTCAACATTTTAGATTTTTTATTTGATAAAAAGTCTTACCTCAGGGAAATCTCGTAATACTTCCGACATTTCATTTCCTCTCTCCCCACATCCCACATAGACAATGACATCACTGTTGGAGTATTTGGACAGAGACTGCGAGATGACAGTTTTACCACAGCCAAATGCTCCAGGGATAGCGGTGGTCCCGCCCTGTACACATCTGACAAGTCAAAAAGCGTTCTATATATATATACTGCAATAAGCCAATGGCCCAATATTGACTTGAAGTCAAGCCTTAGATTATTACAGGACAAAAGAAACGTAACTTTACCCAATAGACATATATATCGGAGAGATCAGAACAAGTAATAACGAAATAAATGTGATATGATGAAATACTCTTATATCATTCAGCCAAATTCCATTTTCCACAGTCACATTTCAATAATTTAGGCCTGTAGTTTCACTGATAAATCCTAAATGGCATTCCTGAAACTCTAAGGGTTACACTCACTATCACTCTCTACACCCCTGAAACATTTCATGGCAAAATTGAAGGTTCCTTTAGACTTTGGGGCTAAGACAAGAAGACCAGTTTGATGTTTTTACATATATCAAAGGAGTCTCATGGATGCCTAATTGTATATTGTACTGGCTTTGAAGTGTCACTCCTTTGTAATCTTCAAATGAGTATATTATTGATTAGTTTTTTCTCCTGAAACCCGCTTTAGACTATTCAAATTACTTTGCTTCTGCCTTCAATTTTGTCAGGAATTGTTTCAGGGATGCTGTGATCGAAGCACTTTTTTATCGAGGATGTCTACATGGATAAAACAATTGTATGATACTCCCGTCATTTATAAGCAGTATTATCTGTATCTAATTCTAAATTTGCTATTCTGTGTTCTTTTGTATAACCCTTATAGTAAATTTCTCCATGCATCAAACAGATTACGGAATTCCGATAGAGAACCTATAGTTATGACGTACGGGAAAAGAGCATCCAGGACACGTTGACCGGTCAGCAGTGGATGATTTCCAGCCAGTTTCTCTGTGACGGGACGCATCTGACGTACTGGCCAGACTTGTAACATAGTGTATTTGTTTTTCTCTCCATCAAACTCTGTCTCCAATACAACATCCTGTAATTACATGGAAAGAAGGCAGGTTAAAGGTAACTTGGCTCTTTGCATAAGTTGTATTTTGTTGTACCGAAAACTCTAATTAAAACATAGGTGAAAATCTTCTGATGCTACCAGTATGAAAAAAATTATTTTTCATATAATTTTATAAACACTTTATAACCACATTTCTTAAATACATTTATAATTGTGATAAAAAAATAACAAAAACACATAAAATTATCAATTTTCTCTGTAGAAGTAAGAAATAAAAATTCTTCCTTTTCTAAATAACAGTTGAACTTGACAAAATGACAGAAAAAGTACCAGACTTATTCTTCTCAACATGGTCCAATTCTGGTACCTTCAGTCAGGGGGATTGTGAAATCTGTTCAGTTATCATGAGTATTCAAATTCATATAGCGATAAAAAAAATTCTGAGAGAAGTTTAGACAAAGCCCGAATTCATCAGTGTTTCGAAATATTAGAGTTCTAGATAAATGACAAATTTTGGCTGTAAAACGAAGAAATGAGAACAACATTCTTGAGTTCATCAACTGGAGAGAGTAGCCCTTACATTGACATCGTATGTGCCGGGGTCAGCAACCCATGTGACGGTGCCCTTTGCTTTAGGAGGCAGCATAATCTTGTGTTTGATGAGGATGTTTTCGTACACCACTCCATAAATATCTCCTCCTGTCATGTGACTACCAACCTGGTAACAAAATTTATTAAAATTTACCGATCTCTTGATTCCATGGTTACATCAGGTCTGATTCACTATACTATGTAATTATATCTGCATTTTAATTGTTCCAATTTTTGACAAAAACAAAAACTTGAAGTACTGTAGCCATGAAAAATACAACGGTTCTCTTTTTTTTATATTTCATTTTGACATAATTATAGACTATTTTTGGTGATTCTATTCCGTCCTTGAAAACAGAAAAAAATCCCCCATAAAGAATATTATCATATTTTATCAACCATGTACAATGTTATCATATTTTATCAACCATATACAAGTTTAACGCGTTTTTCTTGTCTGACAGTTTTCAGCTGCCATCAAGTGTCTGATGATATTTCTCATCTTTCTTCAGGCAACTAACTAGTGCACTTTGGTACACTAGTTTGGGAAGTTAAAACTACTGTAACAATATTTCCTGCACTCCAAGTAGACTAGTGTGAATGAACAGAGAGAACAGTAGTATCAAGCTGAAAAATTCATTGCTTCCTAGAAAAACATCAGCACAGAAAATACTATTTCTAAAAAAAAATGAAGTGAAATTGGGTAGTTCAGTAGAGTAAAAAATTACTAAAACTGAAGTGTTGTTAGGTCTGATGTTTCAAAAGGATTTAAATACTGTGAAGTTCTGATGTTTTGGAATGGTTTAAATCAAATCAGATTTACCCTGATGTTTCCAAATGGTTCAAACTCCCATTTCAGATTTCTATCCAAAGCAGGTGTGTTAACTCCCTTAGGTATGTAGATACTCTGAGTCAGTTTTGAGATCTCTTCCAGCGGTCTTTGAATACCTATAAAAATACAAATAAAAACTTATACACAGCAAGTTACATCCTACAATTAAAACACCACGTTTATCTAGCTATAACTCCATCCAGGGCCTCTTGGAGGACATTTTCACATTTGCATAATCGCAAAATAGATCTGATATTGATTCCATGTAACTTTTCTGGAGTCTCTATGTTCAAATCTTTCATTTGTGAATATTTTGTCCTAGTTTGATTGAATTTGAGTTTGGATTATGACTTTGCTGATACTTTCTTGGTGATTTTTAGTAAATAGTAAACAATTATATATACATAGGCAGTCCAGAGCGAAATATTGAAATGTTCTCAAGATGAAAAAGTTTCTAAATTCCAACTAATTCAGGTAAGGAATTACTATACCATACTCTGAGCAAATACACAATATTTACTTACCATCAAAGATACTGGCCATAATACCAGGTCCTAACTCCACAGACAGAGGTTTCCCAGTTCTCAGAACAGGATCACCCACAGTTACACCAGCTAGAACCAGCTAAGGATCAACACTACACAATATCAAATAACCGATCACTAACAACAGATGATCACTTCTTATGAATTTCAGGACAAAGTATGAAAACATGGTTTTCTCAAAATGTCAGATTCAAAACTAGAAAAATTCTGGTAAACAAGGATGCTCTTGATACTTGCAAAATTAAAGTCAACGTTTGAGAAATATCTATTTATAGGAACTTGATCTTTATCTAAGAAACCAAATACAGCCAGGCATATGTCCTGGGTATTGTTGAAGTTAACATTTGTGGTAAGTTTCAGTGATTTATCTACATTTTCAAACATCAGTACATTCTCTTGTAATTTAGAAAACAAGGAGTCATTTGTCCGGAGACTTGTGGGTGATCTCTGGTTTTTCATAAAAATCCACAAAGAACAAAGCCCCTGGAGTAATGAGTGGTTCAAAACAGGGAGTTATATTCTGAACATGGACCTGTCAGCTCTATGAAATGATCAAATTTGTGTTAATTTTCAATGAAGGATACATGTTTCCTCATAAACCTGGATGGTTGCCATGTCGCCTTCCAATCTGATGATCTCTCCAACGAGCTCGTCATGACCTACACGTACCAACTCGTACATAGCAGCTCCAGCCATGTTCTGAGCAGTAACCACTGAAAATCAAATTTGCATATATGTATATAGTGTCAGGTCTTTTTTCTGATTTGTATCTGACCTGAATTTAGAGGAAATGTTTTCTAGTAATAATCTTGAAAATTTATCTAAAATTCTCGCATCTTTTCAGATTTTATATAACTGTACTTTTTCATTTTTTAAATTTTCCTTTGTTTTTGTGTGTGTATGTAATTTATGTGTGTGATTCTTCAAATATATTTTTGCTATGACCTTAGCACTGACATAACTACTACATAATCTTGATTTAAAAATTGATGTCAGATGCTTTGAAGAGAAATAAATTAGCATGGAGATTCCCGGAAAGTTTTATCCATCAAATGGAATAACCATGCCATATGACTGTTTTCATGTCCACAATAATCAAGTCATATAATTGTCACCCACTGGATGTCATTTATTGTCCTGTAAACTTCACTTCTTTCAGCGTAATTTATTTTACATTCAAAGGTAAGTATAAGAATGTAAACACATATTATATCCATACCAGGTCCAGAAACAGCAAACACATAACCAAACAGGGACTCTTTTTCAGCATCCCCGATCTTGGGTATTTTCTGCGCTCTCTCGAAAGCACCAGCCTGTAAATATCACGTAAAATTTCAAAAACACATTTCACTGACTCTGATCTGTGACTTTCTCCATGTGGAGTAGCTTATTTTTGACATCTTGATTCCGTGTGGCAAATATTTTTTTCTTTTGTAACTTTTTTTGAAAATACTTCATTTATACAGAATTTACATAAGAATGAATATTATTGGCAATTGGTGTCTTTTTTTATTCATGATATGAATCTGGGTTTTGCTAAAACATAAGAAAATAGGTACTGATGAACAATAAGAAAAAATTACAATGGATGACAATATTAGATGATGTTAAACGATCAGATAAATGATTATATCTAATGATCATCCAAACACTACTACACACATTATATAGTCACCTGTCCATACAAAACAAAAGATAAAGCAAATTACTGTTAAATCATTAATTTTCATGGGAGATTATTTTCTTTAATTTTGAAGGTACTCATCATGTATACGTCAATTTATATGTCAAATAAGCAAATGCAGATTAAGCTATATTTATCTATGAAACCAAATTAAGCCCTATGAAAACTTCTTATGGTTGGAAATCAAGTGGAGAACTTGTGTAAATCTATATATCCTAAAACAAACCATGAATACCAGAGCAATGTGAATTCTGATGCTAATAGCAGGAAAATGAACATATCAAATCCATGTTATTCTTTTAATGTAAATATGTATATGGCTCGGCATTATTAATTTCAATATCTCTATGACTACTAGGATTCATGAAGATTTTGAACATCTAGCTTGTGACTACTTGTCGTTCATTCCATCCTGCTAACAAAAACTTTTTCTAGCCAACTTCTGCTGCTAGCTTTTACCATGGCTATAACCATGCATGTTTCAAAATATGAAAAACATCTATATCATTCTTGAAATTTTAAGTTCTCTTCTATGTGTATTTTGTTCTGTCTCTGGTCAGATGTTATTTTACGGCAAAATCTGGAAATTCACCCTTTTAATAATAGTAGAACTACATGTCAGGGTTTTCCATAAGAGCCAGTCGCCGGCCAATTCGACTGGCTACTTTGATCATTTGGCCGCCTACACCAATCCAGTTCTGTAATAATGTTCCGTACACGACTACACATACACGGCAGGCCACCCCCACCTCGCCGCGTTGCGGCTCGGATCGGCTTGCTTCACCAGCCTCCTACTTTCACTACACAGTCTACTACTAACAAAATTATGGAAAACCCTGCATGTAGTTAAAATGCTTTGAGAATCCTCTATGTATGTATCATTTCATATTATTATCAATTTATATATAAGACTCATCAAGTTTTTGATACAAAAAAGCTCTAGACATAGTACTCAACCATTCACTTAACTTGAATTACTATAAAGATTGGAAATTTTTCATAGTCATTCTCAGTACAAATACATCTATAAGAATGCCATACACACAAAGCTATGATGTATATACATCTAGCTCTTTATGTTTTATTTTGAAATGTTCAGTTCTGTATAATTCTACAAAGAATTCCTGTAGAAATATATGAATGGGATTGAAAATTAATTTAAATTTTATTTCAAAATTCCTTATTCTAGATTAAATGTCTAAGTCTAACCCATTTAAATCCAAAACCAATACCACGATTCTGTACTTGATATATGCGATAAGGGGGAAGGTCTTCAACACAGATATGTGGTACATGTACTAGACGTCCTTGGTGCCTGGTAGACAGGCAGTGAAAATTACTGTGTTGCTACCCACCCAAATATTGTACCAGCCCTACAGCTGATAAAACGACCGAAATACAGTTATCTTTCCCACTACCTATTACAGAGCTTTTCTAACTGTTGCTTGCCGGCTCAAAGTCACAATGATAAATAGTTTATACTTCAAAATTGTGATTTTCTTTTGTTTCTTACACACTCATTCTTCAAAAATACTACCATATTTATGATTAAATAAGCATCCTCCTTTAGCATAAAACTTAAGGTATGGGGGAGGGGTTATTTGCAAACTTGTTACCATTAAAAATTGATGATTTTGCAAAAAAATGAAGGAGGAGGTTTATTTATAGGTAAAAATACGGTATATGCTTTTGATAACACCTGCCCTATGCAAAAAACAAAAACATTTATCAAGTGGTACAGAAACATTTTTTTAAGTTTCTTGAAATGAATGATGTTTATGTGAGTAAACACATACCAGTAGTTTATTTCTAAAAAAAAAAAAAAAAAAAAAACAGGTTTGTTTTGTAGAGGGCTACCTTACTGAACATCATAAAGGAAGCCTGTAGCATTCTATTCAGAACAATTATGGTAAAGCCTATTTGAAGGATTCTGACAATCTTTCTACAATACTTAGTCTTGGATTTGGTTGATAGTCATAATTCCTCAACTTGACAACATCTCACTTTATCCAATAGAGGGAATGTTACATATATTATGTATTATATATAAATATGTTCTGTATTACATATATTACATATGATTTATAACAATCACAAAGTTGTAACAGTACTATACATTGCTTGAATACTGAACCTTGTGATTTTATATAAAATGAAATTCTGACCATCAACCCTGGCCAATCATGCTTGGTTGACCCTTGCCATTTAGTAAAGTCAGATAATACATCTAAACAGTCAGAAAAAAAACATATTCAAGAAATATGTCTTGCAACTGTGATAAAAAAAAATCGTGAGTAGATAGTCCGGGCCTTTCTGACTAGGTTAAAGCATCTTGTCAAAAGACACAACCACTACAGCATAGCACATTCCAATTTCTCACAGGACCATTTACCTTCCCCCAATAAACGAGGACCATCATTGCTTTTGATGGTTTTACCTCAATTGTATCAGAATTATCTGATGAAAAATCAGTTACTTTTATAGGGTTTTTTTTCAGATGAGCCCAGAGCACCAATTATAAAATTTTGATGAGTCCCAATACTAAGCGATATAGTGAGTTAGAACGAGTTCCACAAAAAAAAGACACGAGTCCTGGACTCAAATATCTGAGTCCCAAAAATCACTGAAAGTTTAGGTTAGTAGTTTTTATACTAAGGTCATATTTATGAAGTGGTCTACTGAACAAAACCAAACATAACCCTAAATTCCATTTCTAGCTACATGGTGAGGGACTTTCCCTTTAACATGATACTACACCATATACATGCTGTACTGCCACTTGTATTTCTTCGGAGATTTATTTTCATGTTAATATGCAAGGATCATCAATCGCAAATTTAAAACCCTCATGACTACTTGTAAGAAAAAAACTCTTGATGATTCACAGTTTGTATATCTAATAACCAATAATTCATGAATTTACTCATCTATAGACCATTGTTAGCAAAATAATTTATTCTGTCAGATTTTCATAAATTTAATTGATCATTCCATGAATATTCTCTTAAAAGAAAACATTAAGTAGGATAAAACATAGATGGTCAAGTTATAAAGAAAAGCAGAAACACTGTCTGGTAATTTCAAAGGCCTAAATCTTAAGTTTACGTAAGCTATTGACAAAGGCATTAGGCCTGCATCCAATGCTCATCCTATTAGAATCCTATAAAATATCATTAACTGGCTACATGTCAACAAGTTTTTAATTATAGTGTATTGTATGATAGATATGTCGGACAATGTGAAAAGAAACAGTTACCACAGGTACTTGTGAACAAGAATTTCACTTTTTTAAAAATGATTTACGGCAACTATGCTATTTGTTTTTTTTTTTTTTTTTGCTTTTGAAATTGAACATCTGGTTGTAAATGATCTGTTGATTATTTTCCATCAAATTACAAGATTCAATAAAAAAAAATCCATGTACCTGTGACATTGAAAAATTATTTTTATGCAAAATCCATGCTGTTTCAATTAACCATTAGTGTCATATGATAGATGTTCTTTTATTAGGAGAATGTATAATATGATTGTCAATCCTATTTTCGTCTGCAAAAATCATGTGATTTTTCATAATATTACAGTATAATGACCATTTTGAATTCAGCTCTTAAGAAAAGCCGTCCACAAGATTCCATAAATCACTTACAAAGAAATTCTAAATGATTTTCAGTATTCTTTAAAAGTAATTTTGACTTTGAGACACCACCCGGATTTAGTAACGTGATGACAGATACCTAAGGTCAACGTGTAACGAACGAAATTCTACCGGTGCCCCGGTAGTTTCTGTCGATATCATTTTCGCACACTTTATCAACAGAAAAAATCAACATGCAAGTGCTTACTGAAAACTGGATGCACATCAACAAATTTAAAAGAAATTGGTCAACTATAATTATCTATACAGTCGCAAAAACAACGAGAACGATCCTTACCATCTTGTCAGCTTGTCGGAAATATTATCATGTGATGATCGATAGTCTTCCGCACTTGCGCACTACGAGTTTTATTTCACTATTTTAGCTTCCGGTCTTAAAGCGGGATCGAGAGCACATGCGACGGGGTAACACCTAAGATGACGAGGTATACAGTTCATATAGTTAACTTTTATTATATGTATAGTTAATTTCCAATAAGATCACTCAACATAAGCTCACGAGTTTGCTTAAGATTAATGTACCTGTTATAGGTGTTGCTGTGATATTAAGATCGGCGACAGGCGCCTTGCCCCGAGACAGAGTGGCATACGAGTTGTTAAAATGATGTGCAATGTATGATCAGTACTATCGTTCATTTATAAGTAGTGTTTATGACCTTCCGATTAGCAGCCATTGTGACGCCTTCCGATTAAATAATCTTCAATATGTTACCTGCTTAAAAATCACACATGAAATGGGAATAACGATTCAATGCTAAAAGACAAAATAGACGGTGATAACCCAGTAGGTAGCGTTCGGTTACACTTGAATTATTGTCGGTAGCGTTTCTTAAAAGAATAACTTTTTAAACATGCGAATACATATTATAAGAGCATAGAGCGGAGTTATTTCCCTTCCCTTAAATGCTGGCTATATAGTATTCCTATGGACATCACCAATTCACCCTTTAACATCTAACACCCATGTGTTTACCCATGTGCTGAAACATCTGTTTGCTAGGGTTGTGATACATTGTCTGACAAAAAACTTCTGTATTAGTAAAATTTCAAAATCAAAATGCTTCAGCATCATGGCATAACACATCCCTGTTAATGTGACAGGAATGCATACTGTTACTAGGTATAGGGCAGAATAATTCAAGGCACTACCAACAGAGCCAGAGAAGCATGTTCTATCAGCTGGGTGAAAGAGACTGTAATAAGCACTATTTATATATGTACAAGCCACATTGACCTACGCCTTTTACGGTACAAAAACACTCCAGTTTCAAATCATCTGATGGTTTGACAAAATCAGTTACAACTCAGGAGTTCACCATTCATGATATGGTTGAGTTTATAGATGCATGTCTGTTGTCACCTATTTATTTGGGTAATTTTAAAATATGAATTCTTCTTTAGTTAGAGAATTGTTAGAAAATAGGTTGATTGTAAATAGTGTCCAATCAAACAACTGTTACCGTAAAACGTCTCTTTCAGATAAAATAAATATTCAACATTTAGATAATGAACAATTGTAATTCTCAAATTGAGTCTGTGGAACTAATTAATGTGAATGTTGACATGAAATCATTTTGTTGCATATTCCTGGTCAATGTGCCTCTTAAAGCCTCATTATACACATCATTTGGTAAATCTATAAGATTCAGAAAATTTCTAGAAAAACATCTACTTGGTAATTATGCAAAGACCAGACTAAGAAAAACTTCAACAGAGAGGTGTCTATCAAGAAACACGTTGTGAGGATATCAAAGCAAGTGAAAATTAAAGTGGGTCCCACTTAAAATACAGATGTTACATGTGTATGAAGTTAAGAAGGCTGTCACTATAAAAACCACATGACTGCATACTCAAATTTACAGGTGTAGCAATTGCTTTTACCGGTGAAGTTCAATGTTGCATGTGTTGCACACTTTTTGTGATATCACAGGTAGAATCATGAATTCAGGTGTATAATCATGCGCAGGTTTGCTGTGTAGTCTGAATAGAGCATGTAAGTGTTTATAGTACATGTACATTCCGAACTCTCACAGAAATATCTAAAGGATTTGGTTCGGCAACGTTCATAAACGCAGACATGTTTAGAAAAAGTGGATCTCAATAGGTTTAATATGAATACCAATGCATCATCACCATGAGTATTTCTGAGATAAGTACATTTTTAAAATATCAGTATAAATGAATTCTTTTTTCTATTTTCAATCTATGAGTGAATGTTGCCTATATTGGCATTTAATAAAACAAACCTGTATTAATTTGATATGTTGGATTCAAAATTAAATCAGCTCAGAACAGTAACTTAACTGATATGATTAAGTTATAAAACATTGTCAATCACATCCTGCTGAGGCATTGTATTTGTAACAAAAGATGGCGGCATTCAGCAGATTAAAACTATATGTATTGATGAAATCATTGTGGCTCTTGATATGGGTGATTGGAGAAATTTCATCTGAGACTTTTTGGCACTTGCAAATGTTTTTAAGCAAGTTTGATGCAAGTGTCTTCGAGAGTTTGACTGTAGAGATATTAGCTTTTTCAGGCTTACTGCAACCCATTTATGTTATTAACTTTATTTCACAACAATTGTGAAACAAGATTATCAACTTACATAAATCACTTTTGTTGGCCGGGATGGACGTACGAGGGGTCTTACTATGGGGAAAAACCAAAGTACCCCAGGAAAATCCATGTGGTCGGGCAGGTGAACTTTAATATCTTTTCACATCCATTCCGGGTCTAGGTGAAATGCAAGTGCATCACCACTGCGGCCGTTCTTATGCCCGGATATGGTAAGCGGTCTTTGATACTGTTTAGTCTTATTTAGTCTTTAACAGATACATATCATACAGGGCGAGACCGATCGATAGACATAGTATAAAATGAAACAGCCTATTGTGATGCTGTTGCGATTGATATATTTTTGCCTAGTTTATTTTTTGTTTTGATTTCAGGGGACAAACAGAATTGGGAGACATCACCCAACACAATTTAAAGCAACTAAAGAGGCTAAACCAAGTGGTGTTTCCAGTGACATACAATGACAAGTTCTACAAAGATGTTCTGGAAGTTGGAGAATTAGCCAAACTAGGTAGTGTAAACCTGGCGAATGTAAAATGTTATGTCTGTCAGCTGTTGCAGATCATAAGCCTTGTTGTCTTCATTTTTTAGAAGTTAAATGACATAATGATCTAAATTGTCCCCATTTTGTCTACTTATTCCCAGTATTTTACTGTTGATATAAAGAAGAATATCAGCAAATAAGATTCACAGACAGGCATGGTTCGGAATGTACTCCTGTGCATGACTTTGTTCTAAACTTATTAAATCATACAAAAATCACAATGTTTATTGAGTTGTCAGGACTAGTCACACCTCCCCGTCTAGATTTTGAATTTTCTTTTGATCACTTTGGATTTTACTCATTCACCTCATGGGTTTAACATTTAAACTCATGGCAAGGATTTTATAAACTTATTTACAGGAAATCAGAACATATTTTAAGCATTATGAAATATTCAAAATTGATATCAGCAGCCATTTTTAAGCTGAAATTTATTTGAAAGCACTTTTCTAATACCAGGAAATGTTCAAGGGGTACAGAGAGCAAAAAACGTTATTGTAACCCCTGGGGTATTTAGGATGGTTCTAGGGGTACAGAGAGAGAAAGTTATCGTAGCCCCTGGGGTATTTAGGATGGTTCTAGGGGTGAGAGAGAAAGTTATGGTAACCCTTTGGGTATTAAGGATGGTATCTAGGGGTCAGAGAGAGAAAGTTATCGTAACCCCTAGGGGTACAGAGAGAGAAAGTTATCGTAACCCCTGGGGTATTAAGGATGGTTCTAGGGGTACAGAGAGAGAAAGTTATGGTAACCCCTGGGGTATTAAGGATGGTTCTAGGGGTACAGAGAGAGAAAGTTATGGTAACCCCTGGGGTATTTAGGATGGTTCTAGGGGTACAGAGAGAGAAAGTTATGGTAACCCCTGGGGTATTTAGGATGGTTCTAGGGGTACAGAGAGAGAAAGTTATCGTAGCCTTTGGGTATTAAGGATGGTTCTAGGGGTACAGAGAGAGAAAGTTATGGTAACCCCTGGGGTATTAAGGATGGTTCTAGGGGTACAGAGAGAGAAAGTTATGGTAACCCCTGGGGTATTTAGGATGGTTCTAGGGGTACAGAGAGAGAAAGTTATCGTAGCCCCTGGGGTATTAAGGATGGTTCTAGGGGTACAGAGAGAGAAAGTTATGGTAACCCCTGGGGTATTAAGGATGGTTCTAGAGGTACAGAGAGTGAAAGTTATGGTAACCCCTGGGGTATTAAGGATGGTTCTAGGGGTACAGAGAGAGAAAGTTATGGTAACCCCTGGGGTATTTAGGATGGTTCTAGGGGTACAGAGAGCAAAAGTTATCGTAGCCTTTGGGTATTAAGGATGGTTCTAGGGGTACAGAGAGAGAAAGTTATGGTAACCCCTGGGGTATTTAGGATGGTTCTAGGGGTACAGAGAGAGAAAGTTATGGTAACCCCTGGGGTATTTAGGATGGTTCTAGGGGTACAGAGAGAGAAAGTTATGGTAACCCCTGGGTTATTTAGGATGGTTCTAGAGGTACAGAGAGCAAAAGTTATCGTAGCCCCTGGGGTATTAAGGATGGTTCTAGGGGTACAGAGAGAGAAAGTTATCGTAACCCCTGGGGTATTAAGGATGGTTCTAGGGGTACAGAGAGAGAAAGTTATGGTAACCCCTGGGGTATTAATGGTTCTAGGGGTACAGAGAGAGAAAGTTATGGTAGCACCTAGGGTATAGAGAGCGAAAGTTATGGTAACCCCTGGGGTATTTAGGATGGTTCTAGGGGTACAGAGAGCAAAAGTTATCGTAGCCTTTGGGTATTAAGGATGGTTCTAGGGGTACAGAGAGAGAAAGTTATGGTAACCCCTGGGTTATTTAGGATGGTTCTAGAGGTACAGAGAGCAAAAGTTATCGTAGCCCTTGGGGTATTAAGGATGGTTCTAGAGGTACAGAGAGCAAAAGTTATCATAGCCCCTGGGGTATTTAGGATGGTTCTAGAGGTACAGAGAGCAAAAGTTATCGTAGCCCCTGGGGTATTTAGGATGGTTCTAGGGGTACAGAGAGCAAAAGTTATCGTAGCCCCTGGGGTATTTAGGATGGTTCTAGGGGTACAGAGAGTGAAAGTTATCGTAGCCCCTGGGTTATTTAGGATGGTTCTAGGGGTACAGAGAGGGAAAGTTATTGCAACCCCTGGGGTATTTAGGATGACAATCAGTGATCAGACATTAAGATCCCACAAAAACTCAGGGTCAAAAGGTTCCTTTTGCTATTTCTAAAAATGGCAATGTTTTTACAAGTTTTAACATATTTGAAGAAATAACTGATAACTATCGAAGACACCAATTTATTTTTTTCACAAAGTTTCCATATTATGACGCTTTTGTCTTGATTGTTAGATATCACTTAGCTGTCAATATATCAGACAATGCTGGGCAGGGATTTCATAGGTAAATTTTGTTCTTTTCAAAAGAGGAAAGGTCTGGATTTTGAATTTGATAAAAATTATAATGTAGAAATGTTTTTAAAATTCTTTGATTTGTGTACGGATATAAATAGCCAAGGTAACCATGAAATTATATAATGTTAATGGATTGTTTTGCTGTTTTAGCCTACTTCAATGATATAGTGGTAGGCGCCGTATGCTGTAGGATTGATGTGTCGGACGGTCAGCGGAGATTATACATAATGACACTAGGTGCACTGGCTCCATACCGCAGACTGGGAATAGGTAAGTCTAACTGTCTTCAGAAATAATACATAATGATAACAGGTTGAAGGGGAAGTAATTCTGTATATATTGAAAGGTGACCCCCTTGGGGTCTTTAGGGCAGGGCACAAAATTGTAGATTTAGCAAATTCTTTGAAGTCCATACTTCTGAAGGAATCATTGGATTTTGTCCAGATTTGGTCTGAAGCATTCTTAGATGAACAATATGCACTTTTGTTGAAGCATTTGCTCTCAACACCTTCGTGTGGAAGGGGCAAGAACCGGTAAGGGAAATAGAGCAAATTCTTTGAAATTCTTCATCCATTGGAATGCCAGGATTTTGTCCTGATTTTTTCTGAAACATTCTTGGGTGAAGGAGAATCAATTTTGTATAAATGGTAGGTCTCAATCCCCAGGGACAGGAAGGTAACACCTAACAGGGGAAAGAGAGCAAACTGCTTCAAACCTTTTTTTCTTATATAGCTATGTGTAGATTCTGTCTCAATTTGGTCTAAAGCATCCTTTAGTGAAGGGAAATGAATGTTGTCTTCATCTTCCGTCCGAATGTAGGATTCAGTCTAAATTTGTCTTGAAGCATTATTGGACGAAGGAGACTTTTTGTATAAATGATTTGGCAGACCCTCTAGGATAGAGAGGTGGGGCCCAATGGAGAAATAGATTTTAATCTCGAAAATTCTGTTTCCGTTAGTTTCGATGAAGCAATTTCAGCCAAGAAATCCAGGTTAGCAATACATGCCCTTTATGCCTCTTGTTGTAAGTTGAAATTACGTTTATTTTGTAACAACCTTGAGGATTATTCTGATTTGGAAATAATACTGGAATTCAACTGTACAGACATGGATTTGTTTAACCCATGGGAAGTCATACAAGCAAAAAGGGGAGTGTTGTTGGATCAACAGGTTATTTTGTGATACACAGATTGTGCTCAGAAAAGTTAGAGATTCACATATCAACTTTCAGAATCAATTTCATTACTAAAGAGAAATCTGTCAGCAATTTAGTGTAGTCTCTTCTCACTGCTCAGACGTATCAACAAACATTTAGCAGAATAACGTTACACTTATAATAATTTGTGTAAATAGAAAAGGTAATTTTTTCAATATTCTTGCAGGAACGATCATGCTGGAACATGTGTTGAAAATCTGTGATACTGATGGAAATTATGACAATGTCTTTCTGTGAGTAGAGTTCAGATGTATCTTTGATCAGATCAATTAATCAAAACAAAGAAAGAAGAAAAAAAGAAAATATGAAGTGTATGTAAATAAATAATTATATGTGATATTTCTAAAATATCTTGTCGGAATAAATTTTTTTTATTTTTATGTCCTTGCTGTTGTCATGTCGTGAGAATTTCTGAACAGATTGGTCTAATTTACCCCACGTTATCAAAACATGGATTTCTGTCCCTGATCAGACCTTCTGACTACTCGAGAATGTTTTTATCGTTACACTACAGGTTTAAAAACCCTTTTTGAAACTGTTGAGATTTGTAAGATTCTACATTACCTTTTTTTTAATTTTGTTGATGATATGATGCAGTAAGATGTAGTTTTTAAAATTTAAGTTTGCATTTTATTGAACTTTTATATAGCACTGCAATAAATGTTACTAACACAAAATATGTTGTATTGATAACATTGATCAAAACACATATCAAAGCACATATACTGGGAAATCATTAATTTTTGTGGGGATTTATTTTTGTTAAATTCATGGTTACTCTAAATCTATGCATTTATATGTCCACAAAATAATAAGCAGATAAAAATTGTCATGGATTGTAGCACATAGTGGATTTTGTTAGCAAGATGTATGCACAAAATTAAACATCAACGAAAAGGAAAATTTTTTGTGAAGCCGGGAAATTTGGACTCCATGAAAATATATGATTTTATAGAAATAAATCATGGCGTATTGTTGTAGCTCTTATAGACTTTACCCCTATGTACTTCATTATAATGTGATAAAATAGAAACCGTTTCATTTTATATAAATTATGAAATTTATTGAATTATGGGCCTTGTGCCCTTCCTTATTTAGATAATAGCATTTGTTTTTTATCACTTTGGATTTACCTAGTTACCAGCTTGAATTGGAAAAAATAAGGCCTCTAGCATCAGTAGCAATTCCTAGAAGGATGAAACAGTTGTATGCTGCACTTTAATATAGCTTTCATGTACCAAAATCTAAAATACATTAGTATGAAAAGATGGTTTTCTCTTGTTTGTCTTTTGTATAATCTTACTTACGTATCAGTGCTTATCAAAGTAGTATCAATAGCATTTTATTAAAACCTTAATTGTAAATAAATGTAATGACATGTCTTTTTTAATTCATTTTTGCCAATAAAATTTCTCCAGAATATTTCTTGAAAATGTTCAGTAAATTCTGTTTCTTGATGTTTCTATCAAATCTGTATTTCAGACATGTTCAAGTGAACAACGATGTGGCCATTAAGTTCTATGAGAAATTTGGATTTGAGATTGTGGAGGAAAAAAAGAACTACTACAAGAGAATTGAGCCAGCGGATGCATATGTATTACAAAAATCTTTCCGCGGTAAACCCCCCAAAGAGGAAACGGCGGATCAGCGACAGGAAACATCACAATCCAAGTGAATCACATGTGAATTCACAAAATGGAATGTATATAGGCTTTCTATTGTGATAAAATCTCCCTTCTGAAATAAAAAAAATGTGTAGAAATCAACTCTAGGACCTTTGGAGGAGAGCCCAGAGTATATGTGAAATACTATCATTATAGAGAGTATGAATTTAAAGTGATTATGTATTTTGTGGAGCAAATGTATTGGGTATTGGAAAAAGATAATGCCACATTATCACTTAGTGAAATATGTTTTTTTTAATCAAAGGGTGAGCTGGTGACAAGTATAGAAATTGTGTTAGGAAATCATTTATAATAGACATTGCAGGCATATAACAGGACAAACCAGAATATATTATGGTTTTTGATGTTACTGATACCTCCTTGAATTTTGAATTCTTCCTGTGAAAACATATTTGGAAATATAAGCACAAAATATCTATTTAAAAATTGCTTGACCCTGATCAGTTCTTGCAACAACCAAACCTTTTTATTGATACTAATTATATATATACATTGTATATAATAATCCAAAGTCTGGTGTTTCAACAGAAATACCAGCAAATGATACACTGTTCTACAGTCCTTTAATAAGCCCACCCTTTGATTTTTAAGGTAAGAGATTTTGTGTGAAGCCCTAGATCTTGTTCCAAGATAAATGAAAATTGATATGAAAATGAAGATGTGTTAATCTGTGCAATTTTAGACATTAACTGCACTTTTTCTTTCTAAAAATTTGAAAAAATTTGGCAAAGTAGACCTGGATATTCTTTGATTTGAAGAAGTATAATACGCCTTGCAAAAATTGATGAATACCAGACATCTTTTTTAAGCAATTATTCACACCTGATAAATACTTTAGTGAACTAGATTGATTTAAAGACAATAACAAATTTATATTTGATGAGGAGACCATTTACTGGATTAGGTAGGAGGAGGCAAGATCAAGATATGGCATTCATAACACATATGAATGCCAACCAAAATCAGTTAAATGCTAATATTCATCGCTTTCAATTTTCATGTTATCAAAGGCAAACAACCTTATGTTTACATTAGAATGTGTTTGCAATGATACTTTGTTGTTGGCAGTTCACGAAAAAAAAAACAATCTTCCCTTCCATCGTAAAATATTTTATTTGTTTATTGTATGTAAATGTTCAAGGAAGGTACCGCTAGCATTGTACGCAGGTTTGGTAGAGAAAACAAATCCAGCATTAAAAATTCAGGGATGATATATAAAGTAGATTCTGTGTATATATATATATATTAATATTATATATATATAAAAAATGAAATAAAAAAATAAAGAAGTACGCAACAAACTAGGGACAAGTAAATTTTTTCGTGTCTGTTTATTAGTTGACTGGCGAATGAGGTATTCCTTTTAGATTTGGCCTTACTCTACAATTGCCCTACATGCTATTTGGTACCCAGATGACACCGGGACCTACCTATCCACTACCACACATCCCGGTGTTGGCTCTATCCTTGGACTTTTTTGAAACACAGAGAAATAGTCATCATGTTAATTGTTCAATGTAAACATTTTTTTTCCCTTTTTACGCATTCTTGTTCATAATTTGATTACATATTTCTTAAACACTTCCCAATAATGCTTAATATATTACTTTGTTAAGCTTGTAAAATTTCACAGTGACCTGTAAAGGGGTCAGGAGCATCTAGTACTTCAGCATAATAACCTGATTGGGGATAAGTCCTAAATTCTCACCCAGAATATGTTGGTGGAACGAACTGAAGAGAGTGATGCTACTGGCTGTTTCTTTGTTTTATTTAAAACATCTTTTGAAGTTGCTATGCAATGTATAGTCATGCGGGGCTTAATATTGAGGATAGTTTTTCATTTACTACTTCACATATTATCTATATATATTTATCTTAACTTAAAAAACAAAATGCATGTCATTTTCACTGAAGTTATCATTATGAAGCAAACCCTGTTTCCCTCTGATAAACCAGTATTAATTTTTTCTTTTTAAAGAAAGGATAAAAACTTTAAAGGAAAAATAATGATTATAGAAAAAAGTTTACCGTCAGAAAAAATCTTATCATAAATTTACTCTGGAAGAATGATGATGGAAATTAAAAATCTCTGTATAAATGCTTCTAGTTTGTGGAAACCCTAATTTCATAAAAAATATAAACGAATTATTTTTCTTTTCTAACAAGATTTATCAAAATCTTTTTAAGGCTTACAGAAAAACTTATGGAAAAATCCTACGGTTTAATGAATGTGATTATGAAATATACATGTATGGATTCATTTTATGCAGATTTATGGTGATAGACAAAGATTGATTAAATGAAAACTTCAATTGTCTGTCATATATTTGTCATTCTATATCTCCTGAATTGAATTGAAGTATGTAGAGAATTCAGTTATATGTAAGAAGTTTGGTGATAAGAACCTGTAAGAAGTTACAGTTAAATGTAAGAAGTTTGGTGATAAGAACCTGTAAGAAGTTATAGTTACCTGTAAAAAGTTACAGTTAAATGTAAGAAGTTTGGTGATAAGAACCTGTAAGAAGTTATAGTTACCTGTAAGAAGTTTGGTGATAAGAACCTGTAAGAAGTTATAGTTACCTGTAAGAAGTTACAGTTAAATGTAAGAAGTTTGGTGATAAGAACCTGTAAGAAGTTATAGTTACCTGTAAGAAGTTACAGTTAAATGTAAGAGGTTTTGGTGATAAGAACCTGTAAGAAGTTACAGTTACCTGTAAGAAGTTTGGTGATAAGAACCTGTAAGAAGTTACAGTTAAATGTAAGAAGTTTGGTGATAAGAACCTGTTCTCTTTTTTTTTTTGTCCATTTTATACCTGAATTTCACATTACAATTTTTTGTCCGGTAGCAGATGCAGTGAAAAAGTGTAGTGGATTGAAATTTGAACATTAAACCTGTAGTTTGTTCATGTAATATTCAGAATCATTCAACATAACACTAGTACTGTGAATAAATAATTAGTCACTGATATTATACTAGTCTGTTAGAAAGAAATATATATAAATACATCAACAGAATGACTGATTTAGGTGGAGATATTAAGTATTCAAAATCAGGAATGTTACATGTTGGCACTCTATTTGTGTCGGATATTTTTCATAGTTTTCACCATACTCCTGTCGTATTGATTTTGTTAAACATTATTTCCTTCTTCTTGCTAAAAACTAGGATATTACTTTGTAAGTCCAGCTAATATGTAAGCTAAGTGACAATTAAATAGAAGGGGAACTGCATCATATCCATTCTCGGCAGGTATTTACTGTCCAGCTTATCTCTATACCATCAGGTACTGCCAGGGTGAAACAAAGGGCAGTAACTCTGGGATATCAGATTGGGTCTTATCCTATTAATTGAATAAATTCCAATCAAAATTTGATTAAAGTGTAATTGAAAAATGAAAAATTAAGGGTTTGACGTTTTAACCTAGGGAGTTGAGACTTTGCACTTAATTCTAGGTCATTGTAGGGATGTATGTGATGTGAAAATAGGAAACCTTTGTGTATGGATCAGTTATATGTTTATGTTCATTCTTTTCTGGTATTGAACTTTTTTTTCCATGATGGTCAGCAACATGCTTGTATATATTTATTAAAATCCTGACTTTACAGCATATTGCCTTCCTTTGTCTGATTTGTCTTAAGATATTGGTTAGATGTGAGGCGTCTGTAAGGGGTTTTATTGGCCTGAATCAATTTGGAGTACATTTATAAAACAAGTATGATATGGAAAATAAAATAAACTATTTTCCCAACCTATTGACACTACACTTACTGTATTGAAGTTGTAAACTCAAACATACATTTATTCTTCTATTTTCTAAACTTGTAATTATTCTGATAAACATCAACTCCAGACAGATATATATAACTTAATAGAACATGAGGATGATTTAGGCTAACTTTGTGTGGTCTAGGAACTCCAATGTATTGATCTCGGTAGGATTAAGAACAATCTTGAAGACTAGATTCCTTGTGTGTAATCCACCCCGCTAACAATATGAATGGAAAAATCGAAGGAAGTGAATGAAAAAAAAATCTTGTAGATAAAATTAGCATGATTGGACAGTACGTGGAGGGTGATTATTGTTTTATAAGTTGATTATCGCCTAATTAATACGCGTTTTTCATAAGACTACGTTACATTACGTGTAAATATTCATGTGGATAGATTTTAGTCCAGTCATTAAATCACGTGTCCTTTTCAACCAAGGATGAACTTTATTGAGATTCGAGAAAAAAATCTCATGTCTTCGTTTATTCTACATTCATTTTTATGGATACTGTAAAAGTTGTTTTCTTAGGTGGCGAAAATTTTCGCGGTTATAATGTATGAACATTTCACAGAGTTTATGAGACGAAATTTTTTTTCTATTTCTAACTTTTTCTGATAATGAGATTTAATGTAATGCTCGTACTATTTACGATCTTACGGAAAAACTATTGAAGCATTAAACCGTCTTGTTATGGCATGTATGGTCATTATAAATGACAGTTTTGCAGTCATCCGTGTAATCTGTCAGTACAGTACGTGGAACAGCCATTTTGTAGCAACACCCCCCTCTAGTCTGAAGTCTTAGTAAGCACACGCTTCATGGCATTTACGGTATCTTCTCTCAGATAAGTTTAGATACAGCCATTTGCTGTGCCATTTTCAATTCATGACGTAACGTCACCATCTATATTTTATAACAATCATTTTCTGACTGGCGCAGCCAATGAAAAAAGCCCCAGTGTATGTTACACAATTGATATATACGGAAAAAAAAGAAAGAAAACAAAAAACATTAACTGGATGACAGGCCGAATATGTGATAGAATATATACATTTGTATGTGTAAAACTATTAAAAAAGAATTTCAAAAGGAAACAGATTAACGGTGTCATTTCGAGCAAATTTAAGTAAGGGTATTAAGGTCATGTTTATGTTTATCATCTTGAAATTTACATGTCCTTATATTTACCATTGCTTGTCATTTCGACAATTGACCTTATCAAAGTTAGTTGTTTATTACAAGCTCTTGAACCGACAGCGTAGGAATATTGCAAGTAATGTCAGCAAATTGAGGTTGTCTCCCCTTATGATAAGATTAAAATTGAACAGTAAATATAAGCATAGAACTGCTTTCAGTTGGCATTCATGCATAATTGTAAATTCAATGCGAAGCGCTTCATTGAGTTTGTCATAGTCCTATTGGCATTCATATACTCATGGATGCCAACTGAAAACAGTTCAATAGTTTAACATTGCGTGCATTATGCCTACGTCATTGGCAATTCATGAGCTGGTAATTCTCAACTTGCATTTTTAAGGTTTCACCGTAGCAGTGTTATACAGTGGGAATTATATTATTAAGACTTGGGCCTCTATTTAAAATTACCTATGCCAAGAATATGTCGTGAATATATTTTTAATTTTCGTTTAAAATACTCAACCTATAACAAACTTTTTGAAATAATTTAAGAACATTATGTTACTTCATTATTTGACGCTAAGTTCTTGTACATGACACAATTGTGTTGACCGTCTCAACTCAACCTGACAGTAATGCGAATGTACCATAATTTATAACAGCCCCAGTTCTATTTAGATACGTGGAGCAGGTGTATGATATATAACGTCCATCTTTATGTGTATTCTACAACTGTATAATTTGAATAAAACACAAAAACTAAGAGAAGAACATACTGTTTTAAGTTCAAAGTGTGATATGACGCATTCAGTGGTCTTTTTGCAGTAATTAATTTTGACGAGGTCTACAAGTGTCTAATTCATTCTGTTACAACTTAATAAAGATAGATCTTTCAAAATTTCTCCACAATTTAACGGTTTCCTGTTATTGAATATGATTTGCATTATGTATGCTATCTCTGATTGCACCGGTCTCGAAGCGTACATTTGATAATCGTGTTCCTGTGTTCTGCTTTAATGACTTGATGGCTTTTTCTAAAATTGTACAAGAAACAGCGAATATCCTCTTTTAATACATGCTTTGAATTCGACACCGTAAAGCCAAATAATGGATTAAACTTAAAAACTTAAATATTTAACTTATCCAGATCAAATTAATATTTCTTGCAATTATTGAAAGAATCCATTTTTTTTACAAATTTCCCTTAATGGGCCCCAAGCCTTAGCCTCATAGATCACCCCTTCTGTTAATATAATTTTAAAAAAGTCTTGGCATTTTTCTTCTTTACCTGATTGTTAATGTCCCTGCATCTCCTGCTTCCATCGAGAGCCCCAACTCCGTGTAGTACATAGACTAATTATAGTGTCTTTGGTCCACCATAAAATATTGTGGGACGAGGGAGGGGAGTTGGGGTGGAGTGGTGGGGGATGTGGCGGAAAGGTATGGGGAGGGGGGCTATTACTTATCACTTAAATCTAATTACAAGAAAAAAAAAAATGATATTTATTTATTCTTTATTGATCTGAAGCAATACAGCTTATGAATTCTAATACATAAATATACAACATGTATCGTATACAATAGAATATGAATGAAATCTTTCGTGGGAACAGAATAGATCAGAGTAGTGAAAAAACAAACGAACAAGCAAACAAACAAACAAGTACATTAAGAGCTTTATGTTGTGGTTTCATCAATCTGGCTATCCTGTGTATGAATCTAAATTAACTCTTTCAGGAACAATTGAATTTTGTCTGCACATTAAATTAGTTAAAAGTGGGTGTTATTTGTAGCACATTGAGTGACTGCCCATGAAATAGGACTGAAAAAATCAAAAGGTACATAAGGCCTGTGTTACGCCCCATTTAGTGTCATAAGAATATGACAGGGTTCAATTTATCATCTGAAAAAGTATTCAAACCAACGTGTACATTGCCAAATGACATACTTTTTGATTAACAAAGATCAGTTTGAGAATACGGTGGTAGTTATGTGTCAAAATATATAGTTTTAAAATTGAAAAAAAAAAGACTTTTTTTTTTTTTAGCTGAGACAATTTTTCAAAG